CAGTCAGACCTGATGTCTGCCAACAGCCCACCGCTGGGGCCACAGTCAGACTGGTGTGTATCTCTCTTCCCTTCTCCTAGGGGTAGGATTCACTGTGGGGTGGCGTGGCCCCTCTGGGCTATTTGCACACTGCCAGGCTTGTGGTGCTGGGGATCTGGCGTATTAGCTGGGGTGGATCGGCAAGGTGCACAGGGGCGGGAGGGGCAGGCTCAGCTTGCTTTTCCTTCGGTGATCCGCTTCAGAAGGGGCCCTGTGGCACCGGGAGGGAGTCAGACCCGCCACCAGAGGGACGGATCCGCAGAAGCACAACATTGGGTGTTTGCCTGGTGCAAGCAAGTTCCCTGACAGGAACTGGTTCCCTTTGGGATTTTGGCTGGGGGATGGGCAAGGGAGATGGCGCTGGCGAGCGCCTTTGTTCCCCGCCAAGCTGTGCTCTGTTGTCTGGGGCTCAGCAACTCTCCCTCCCGTTGTCCTCCAGCCCTCCCACTCTCTGGGCAGAGCTGTTAGCTTATAATCTTCCAGATGTTAAGTCCCACTTGCTATCTGAACACACTCCGTCTGGCTCCTCCACTTTTGCAAGCCAGACTCGGGGGCTCTTCTTTGCCGGTGGGCTGCCCCTCCACTCCAGCTCCCTCCCGCCAGTCTGTGTAGCTCGCACCACTTCTCTGCCCTTCCTACCCTCTTTTGTGGGCCTTTCATCTACGCTTGGCTCTGGAAAATCCGTTCTGCTAGTCTTCTGGTGGTTTCCTGGGCTATTTAGGCAGGTGTGGGTGGAATCTAAGTGACCAGCAGGACGCGGTGAGCCCAGCGTCCTCCTATGCCTCCATCTTCCCAGCCAGTGTATGTATTTTTTAATTTTAGAGAGAGAGTGGGAGCCGGGGAGAGGGGCAAAGGGAGAGAGAGAGAATCCCAAGAAGCCTCCACACTCAGCACAGTGCCAGATGTGGGGCTTAATCCCACAACCCTGGGATCATGAGCTGAGCTGAAATCAATAGTCAGAAGCTCAGCAGATTGAGCCACGCAGGTGTCCCCAGAATAATATTTTATTGTCTGAATATACCACAGTTTATCTGTTCACATACTGAAGGACAACTTGTTTGCTTCCAAGTTTGGGCAATTATTGAATAAAACTGCTGTAAACATCTATGTACAGGTTTTTGTGTGGACGTAAATGTTTAACTCATTTGAGGAAATATCAAGGAGCATAACTGCTGGGTTGTTATGATAAGAGTATGGTTAGTTTTGTTAAGAAGCTGCAAAACTGACTGTTGCATGCTCACCAACAATGAATGAAGAGTTCGTATTGCTCCACATCCTTGGCATTATTTGTTGTTGTAAATCTTTTGGATTTCTGACATTCTATTCAGTGAGTGGTGTCATTGCTGTTTTAATTGGGCATTGCTTTTGATAGAGAAAAGAAAGTGGGCTAACTGGTCTCTTAGTGTGCTGAAATTTCTTTTCATCATGATGATGAATCAAAGTGTAGTCTGATCCAGAGAGGTGAGACATCCTTTGCTATGGCATATCTAAAATGATAGGAAAAGACAGTTCACTGAAGGGGACACATAGCAGGCCAATAAACATATAAGAAATATTTACATTCAAATTAGTAGTATACCATTTTTTATTTCTCACACTGGCCCATTTTCTTCTTTATGGTAAACAACACTAGTGGAAATAGAATTTTTATTTTACTTTTTAAAGTGTATTTATTTTTAGAGAGAGAGCACACGTGCATGTGCACGTGAGCAGGGGAGGGTCAGAGAGAGAGAGGAAGGGAGAATCTCAAGCAGGCTCTGCTCAGCACAGAGCCCAGCATGGGGCTTGATGTCACAACTGCAAGACCTGAGCCGATATCAAGATATCAAGAGTTGGATGCTGGGAATATAATTTTAGATGTAATCTATTGAGTTTTTTCTATGCCCATAGAATAGTTAGAGCCCAATTTTTGTTTGAATTAATACTTAATGTTTTGATGATGATGATGATGATGATGATGATGATGATGTGTAAATAGTTCATATGTGGGACACACAGTATATATAATGATTAAATTTTCTTTCTTAAATAGCTTTTTTTCTCCTGGAGTTAAATTTTGCCATTTTTTTGTTTGCCTGTTTTGACATTTCTGTTCCGAATCCAGCACCCAAATCTTCAACAGAAAGCTAAGTGTAGTCATACACATTAAGTCTTCCCCTTTTCCCCCCACTTTGAGACTTTCTTCTGTTCTTTTTCTCTTATTTGTTGCCATTGCTCCCAGGGCCTGCAGCATTGCTATGGTACTGGGCCTTGCCTTCATATCTTGAGATTTCCTTTTGATCCTGTTTTCTAGACTCCCATTCTTCCTCTTTTTTTGTGTTAATCCCTCATTTTGTTGGAGCATGTCTTTTTTTTTTTTTAATCTCTTATTTATTTTTGAGAGAGAGACAGAATGCAAGCAGAGGGGAACAAAGAGAGGGAGACACTGAATTTGAAGAGGCTCCAGGCTCTGAGCTGTCAGCACAGAGCCTGACGTGGGGCTTGAGCCCACAAACTGTGAGATCATGACCTGAGCCAAAGTCGAACACTTAACTGACTGAACCACCAGGCGCCCTTGAAGCATATGTTTCTGTAACTTCTTGAACAAAGGGTGCATGGAAGTTAAATATATTAAGATCTTAAATGTGTGAAATATGTTTTTTTCCTCATACTTTGTTAGTAATTTGACTGGGTATATATTTTTAGACTGAAAATCATTTTCTCTCATAATTTTGAAGGCTCTACTCCACTAATTTCTAGCTTCCATCATAAATGACATTTGTTTTTTTGTTTAACTGAATCTGCCCTTGGGGTTCTGAATTTATTAGTAGGGATAAACATTTTGTATCTTTCTTACCTGTTTCTCATAATCTATAAATGGGAAGTACATAATCTATAGTTTGCTTTGGCAATGACAATCCCAGTCTCAAAATTCTAGTTAAGTACATGCTTTATAAACATTCCTGAGTAGGAATGCTTATCTAGATGCTATTTAGTGGTAAGGTTGTTTTAGTTGTGGCCACAGATTGAATGTTTGCGTACCACACCCTTGCTTCTCAATGTAATGATATTAGGTCAGACTTTTGGGAGGTGATTAGGTACCATGATATTAATGTCTATATAAAAGAGACCCCAAAGAATTTCCTCTCCCCTTCGATCATATAAAGATGCAAGTGAAAATGACCGTCTGTGAATCAGGAAACAGGTTCTCACCAGATACCGAATATGATGGTGCCTTGATCTTGGACTTCACAGCCTCCAGAACTGTGAGAAATGAATTCTGTTATTTATAAGCCATCCGGTCTGATATTTTTGTATTGGCAGCCTGAGCTAAGACAGTTTTTGTTTTGTTTATTCTTATATTGTTTTATTCTTTTTAAAAATTAAAAAAAAAATTTTGTTAGAGAGCATGCGAGTGGGGGAGAGGGGCCGAGGGAGAGAGAAAGAATCTTAAGCAGGCTCCACATTCAGCACAGAGTCCCATGAAGGGGCTCAATCCCACAACCCTGGGATTGACCTGAGCGGAAATCAAGAGTTAGATGCTCAACTGACTGAGCCACCCAGGTGCAACCTGTTTTGTTTATTCTTACATTGTTTTGTTATTTTGTTTTTCTCTAAACCTAAATAGTGGGAATACTGGAGATAAGCAGAATTCTGTTTCAGAGCACAAATAGTAACATAAAGTAGTTAAGTTCTCATTTAGATAGGTACTGAATTTGAATCCTCCTTTGCCATCTACCATGAGTGTGACCTTGGCAAGTGTGTCAGTCATGTCTTCTTAGAGATGCCAAGATGATATTACTCATGTGAAAATTTTATCAGGGGAAACACCTGTGGGAGAGAAAATGTGGAGGGAATCTTTAGACTCAATGCTGAACTGACCCCAAGTGAAGGAGAGGGAAGGTTAGGTGGAAGAAAATGCCTTGCGTTCTAAGGATGGTTTGGCAAGGTCATTGTGGGTCCTTGAAGTAAAGTCAACAACCATCAGAGAAGTCTCAGGTCTCCCAGGAAGGGCCTGACTTAGTATCCCTGCCAACTCAAACACTGGCAGGGAGCAGTCAGTGGGCAGTGTGGCCTTAGAGCACACGTAATGAAGGATTTCAGGGCCTAGAACTGGGACCCTTTTCACTTATACTCCCTGTAGTTGGAGATCTATCTGTAAGGCACATTCTAATGTTCACCACAGCCAGTTACCTCAGCCCTGTAAGTCACACTTTCCTCCTCTGTAAAATAGGGAGAATGATAGAGACTTCCTTCTAAGGTTATTGTGAGGCAAGAATATGTGAAGTGTTCAGAATAGAAAGGATTCTTCTTTTTCCTCTTCCTGTTCCTCCTCCACTTAGCTTTTTCTCAGCAGTAGCTATTTTAGATCCAACACATAAACCAGAAACATCCTCCTCTGGTTTACTAAAACAAATCACAGTCTTTTGTAAAGTGTTACTAAACGTGTGTTCCATGGACCGGTACCATTAGCAACATCTGAGAGCTTGTTAGAAATGCAAATCCCAGGACCCCATCCTGGACCTACTGAATCAGAATCTCTGGGGTAGAGCCCAGAAATCTGTTTTTTAAGATTAGTGTTGATCCTTGTGCACACTAGAGTTTGAGTAACACCTCTCTAAACAAATCATTCTTAATTCTTCTAGGGAGGAAAAAGGAAGAAAACAGATAAGATCTCTTCAAAAACAGCTACTTAACGTCAAAAGAGAACGGCAAGCTGAGGTACAGGTAAGAATTACCTGGCCAACACCAAAAGTTACTGAGCTGAAACAGCTATGTAAAAGCCATCTTCCTTCCTTCCTTCCTACCTTCCTTCCTTCCTTTTCTTTTTTTCCTTTTTCTTTCTCCCTTTTCTTTTTCTCTTTTCCTTCCTTCCTTCCTTCCTTCCTTCCTTCCTTCCTTCCTTCCTTCCTTCCTTCCTAATAAGCCAAGACCTTTATTGATACAGCAGGTACTTTTCAATGAACCCAAGAGAGGCCGTCTTCTCTGGGAAGATGGGATGTCTGCACAAACCCTTGAAGTTTTACTACTTCAAAAAAAAATAAGCTCTCCCTTTTACCACAGCCCTTAGATCTGTACCTGCCCACATCGTCCCTCCCCCATTTTAAATAGGCAGAGCCCACAGGTACACGTGACCAATGCTAGCCAGCCACTCCAGTAGACAGTTATGTCAGTTCTGTGTTACTCGTGGACAAAGGCATAGACTATCAGATCTTGCAAAGGATTTAGGAAACAGACGATTTCTCCCTCCACCTTGAAAATAAAATACACTTCAGCCGATGCATGTCCTGAAATAGTTTAGCTGGGAGTCCCTAGGAAGGTGGTCCATTGTCAGTCCCTTCTTCATCAGCCTGTGCATCCAAAATTCTCCTCAAGGTCACATGAATCATTTTTTGGTTGTTTTTTTGTTTTTTGTTTTTTTAAACAGTCTTTCTTGCTGTAAGAACTCTTATAATGGAGCCTCATCCTCCTACTGCTAATACCTTTTCATGCCACTGGAATAACACTGTACTGCTGTTTTCTATGGGCCTTTATAAATGTACTTCATTAGCAAGTCAGTGTCATTTCTGTCCAGTGACTGCACAGCCTGCTCGATTTCACTGCTCTTAAAATTTGTAAGCACTTTCAGCACCACGCTCTGGGCTCATTCCTTCACGGCTTATCTTTTCCTGGCTTATTTTGGATTACTTGGTTTTTTTTTTTTTAGATTTTGATTTTAATTTACCTAATGGCCTTTTACCTATACCTCTTTGTATTTTTTAGATATATAGTTGCTCTAGGGATTCCTTTTAATAATCTCTTTAGCATTAATACTGCACCACTTCACATAAAATATAAAAACCTTGCACTCATATAGTTCCACTGTTCCCCTCTTCCCCACCACTCACTTTTATTCTGTCATACATGTTACACATATATACATTATATATATTACACAAGACACAAGACCACAAGACAAAAAAAATATGTTTTTTCCCTTAATTATTGTGCTTTTAAAAATTAAGAAGAAAATAATTGTCTTACTTACCCTGATATTTATCAGTAAGTTTCCATCTGGTGTCATTTCCTTTCAGCTTAAAGAAATTTCTTTACTATTTCTTGCAATCTGTGTTTGCTGTAGACGAGTCCTCTTTTCTTTTTTTTTAAATTTTTAAAAAAATTTATTTATTATTTGAGAGTGAGAGAGAGAGCATGTGGGAGGGATCATGTGGGATCTCATGACTATGAGATCATGACCTGAGCCAAAACCAAGAGTCAGAAGCTTAAAGCGACTGGGCCACCTATGTGCCCCAACAAGTCCTCTTACTTTTGTTTTTCCCAGGTCTAAGGCCATACCACTCTGAAAGCACCTGATCTTGTCTTTTACCTAGAAATGTGTCTATTTTGCTTTTGTTCTTGAAAGACATTTTCAGTGGGTATAGAATTTTGGGTTGACAGATTTTTCTTTCAGTATTTTAAGGATATTCACTATATTTTGACCTCCATTCTTTGTTTTGAGACGATAGCAGTCATTCAAATCATTGTTTTCCTGTATATAATGGGTTCCCTTTTGGATTTCCATTTTTATCTTTGATTTTCAGCAATTTGATTATACTGTGTTTAAATGTGATTTTCTTCCTATTTATTCTGTTTGGATTTCGCTGTAGATGTGATTTCTTCATATTTATTCTGTTTGGGTTTCACTGAGATGTCTGAAAATGTAAATTTGTGTCTTTCACAAAATTTATGAGATTTTCAGCCCTTATCTTCCCCCCCAAAGTTCTATACCCATTGAATATATCTTTCAAGAACAAAGACAAAATAGAGCCCTAACAATCATGACCATGCAATATTGTAAAAATCATTTGAAGTGCTTCCTTTTTGTTTTGATTACTGCAATTTGTGGTACCAAAGAGTATTTATAAAACAGGGAAAAATACTCGCTGTCCTCTGTTGTAGTTATACATTTATAATATCATGTATAGTTAGGCATTACATTTGAAGGGTTTTACTCAAAAGAGATCTGTCAAGACAATGAGGTGTATGGAAACCTCATTACAAAAGGAAAGAAAAGAGGAAATTGATACAATTGAAATGGGAATAGTTCAAATGGAAATGAAAGTAATGGGTGGAATTAGAGTCTGAAACTTTTGAAGTTTGGACCTGATTATATTTCATCTGTATCTTAGAATGGGTGACTCTGTGTAGCTCAGAGCTTAGAGTTATTCAGAGACTGTTACAGAATCAGCCACTGTTCTTGGTCACAGACAGACAAACAAATATATATGTTAACTTAATACAGAATTGTATTTTTTTCCAGTGGCTTCTGTCACTTTAATAGACCACATTGCAATTTTCCATCCAACCAAAGCAGCAGCCCAAGGGGTAACACAAGTTCCAACTTCTCCAGACAGTAGCTTCCAAAAATTCCAGGAACCATACTCTCATCTCTGCTTTGTGTTCAATTATGAAAACGGACACTACCATTAAAATTCTTTGGCTTACAATATTGTGGCAGCCATCAGAGCCTTATTAACTATAATTGGTTGACTGCTTCTTTCCATTTCTAAATCATGTTCCTCTGAATTCAGATTAAAAGTACAGATCTGAAGGCAGTTTTGGGATTTCTGACTAAAGTTTGGTCTGCTACAAAAACCCACAAATATGGTGCATCAGTCCACAGACCTTGATCATGGGGAAGGCTGCAGATGCCATGGACAACCAGGGTTATGCTGGTGGGTTGTGGTGAGGGCAGATCTTTTCTTAGTGAGAATCTTAAAAGGCATTCATATAACTCATGACAATTGGCCTGTAACCCACTGCTTCTAGGCTGCCTCCTTTTTGCATACCAAGAAGATGCAGAAATGGAATTGTATTTCAGTTCATTTGTTAGTGTGCCTTGATCATGATTTTACCATGACTAGACTGTCAAGATTTTATATCTTCCTCTGTTTCCATACTTTCACCATAGGAGGCCACAAGTTGTGCAGAACAGTAATACAGGAGGGAATAATCAGAGGCCCACAGCAACAGCATTAAAACCAGATGCCTTTTACTTGGCACGGTATAATTGTAGACCAATGTTGTATGACCTTATCAAGTTACATAATGTAATACCTTTCGCTTGCCATAGGCAGAAACTCCTAGAATTTTAACTCTGCATTTCTGATCTTCATATTATTACTCTAAAAGACTTAATATTCAATTTGATAAAGAAAACTGACGAGAACATTTTCTTGAGTTTTTGAAAGTATATTTTTGTACGGATGCTATTTAATGAATACTTAAGTGTTCAACACTGTTAGATTCTGTGAGAAACAAACGCACAATTATTTATGTGGCTGAGGTTTTCTGGAAAAGGTTTTATGGATTTAAGTCGTGTATAAGCAGGGTCTCAAAGAAAGTCTAAGTGGTTAAATAGGTATAAAGATAACAGCCGATGAAGAAGTGACACCATCACATTTCACTTTAACTCAAGTCTTCCTAGAAATCCAAACTTTATTGTTGACTTCCATACAGTTTGAACTAGAAGGGAAGAAAAAAGTGAAATGGGAAAGAGGAGAAGGGAGGAGAGTGTAGAAAGAAGGGAAGGGGAAAAAGTGAGCCAAAAAAGAACTCTCTTAAAATTAATTTAATGAACATTTATTGAGTAGCTAAGTTGCATGAGGCACTGGCAGGGTTTTACAGTTGAGGAAAGTCTTAAGGTTAATTGCCCACAACTTTTAAGAGACTAAAAAGCACTGAGATGTGTTATCAGCTAGGCCTTGTAGCATATTCTCTGCCAGAGATACTCATCTCTTTGGAGTGGCTTTGATACAGGTGGAATAACTGCTCTATAATTGGAATGATTCCATAGAGTTACACCAAGAAGTCAGACAAAATGACCTGAAGAATTCCTTTCTGACTAATTTTAGGGGCCTATGAGCCTTTATTTTACTTTAAAAAAATGGGTTTTTTTAAATTACAGCTTCTTTTCTTTTTTTCTAAGTGTTGATTTTTGAGAGAGAGAGAGAGAGAAAGAAGTGTGAGCAGGGGAGGGGCAGAGAGAGAGAGACACAAAATCTGAAGCAGACTCCAGGCTCTGAGCTGTCAGCACAGAGCCCGATGTGGGGCTCAACCCCACAGACCTGCCGAGGCACCCGGAGGGGCCTATGATCCTTTAAACTGTATTTGTTTTTTATTGTGGATGATCTTGACCAATTTCTGCTTTGTTTCTTTCAATACTTAGAATTTACTCTGCCCAGCTTACGTGGTAAGACTAAAATTGGTTGGTATTTAGAGAAACCGAGATCTCTGATAAAGCACTGCATTTTGATTACTAGTTGTGTTTGCTTGCTGTGCTGTCAGCTAACTGATCATCTCTCTGTGAAATGACTCATGATGTGTCTGATTCTTTTCAAACAATGAAATGTTATGCCCTGACTAAAACCTTCCCAAAACTTCCCATGGCACTTGGAATACAATTCAAACTTAATAGCGCCTGAGGTCCCGCATGGTTCCTTCTTACCTACCTCTCCAACCTCATCCTGTCCCACTCTCAACTGTTGCTGGGATAGTCTCTAGAGTTTTCTTTCAGTCCCTGGGATGTATCCAGGTTTTTCGTGCCTCAGGACTTGGGCATTTATTTTTCCTTTTTCTCAGAATCTTCCTTGACCCCACTTTTCATGTGACATACATACTTACCCTTCAGGTGTCAGATTTAACATTCTCTTCTCAAAGAATTCTTCTTATTTATTTTTTATATACATGTATTAAAATGTACATATTTTACATTTTAATGTAAATTAAAATGCACATTTTAATGGGGCAGAGAGAGACAGGGAGAGAGAGAATACCAAGCAGGCTCCACCCTGTCAGTGCAGAGCCCAGTGTGAGGCTAGAACTCATGAACCATGAGATTATGACCTGAGCTGAAATCAAGAGTCAAGTGGTTAACTGACTGAGCCACCCAGGTGCCCCAGAGAATCCTTTTTAGACCATCCAATCTAATGTAGGTCTCCTTTATTCTTTTCTCTCATGAGAAAATGTTGCTCTATTCTTTAATAGTGTTTTGCACCTTAAGAAAAGTTTACATACCTTGCACCTTTAAAAACGTTTTTGCTTTTGTTTTTAAAATATTTTATCTTTAAGTAATTCTGTACGCAATGTGGGGTTCGAGCTCACAACCCCAAGATCAAGAGTCACATGCTCCACCAACTGAGCCTGCCACACGCCTCAAAAAGTTTTTTAAAAAAATATTTATTTATTTTCGAGAGAGAAAGGGAGAAAACACAAGCTGAGAGGGGCAGAGAGTGAGGGGGACAGAGGATCCAAAGCAGGCTCAGCACTGTCAGTGCAGAGCCTGATGCAGGGCTCAAACTCATGAACCATGAGATCATGACCTGAGCCAAAGTCAGATGCTTAACTGACTGAGCCACTCAGGCACACCCAAAAAGTTTGTTTTTAATCACATCTCTATCACTAGATGGTAAAGTCTATGAGGGCAAGGACCATGTCTATTAGATCTCCACTGTTTACCTTAGTATGATACTGAATGAATTTTTTAAAAAAATTTATTTTAAAGAGAGAGAGAGCACATGAGTCGGGGAGAGGGGCAGAGGGAGAGAGAATCTTAAGCAGGCTCCATGCTGAGTGTAGAGCCTGACACGGGGCTTGATCCTACAATTCTGAGATCATGATTTCAGCTGTAATCAAGAGTTGGACCCTTGGGGCACCCAGGTGGCTCAGTTGGTTAAGTGTCCAACTTTGGTTCAGGTCATGATCTCACGGTTTGTAGGTTTGAGCCCTGTGTTAGGCTCTGTGCTGACAGCTCAGAGCCTGGAGCCTGCTCCAGAATCTGTGTCTCCCTCTTTCTCTGCCCCTCCCCTGCTTGTGTGTGTCACTTGCTCTCTCTCAAAAATAAACACGAAAAGAATTTTAAAAAAGAGTTGGACTCTCAACTGACTGAGCCACCCAGGTGCCCCTGAATATTTTTTTAATGAATATTGAAACCTTAAAATTGCCAAGCACTTTGTGACCTGGAAAGAATTTTCATATATCCTCCATTCAATTTCTTATAATCACTTGCTAAGATATACCAGGCAAGGCAGATGTTAATGCTTTTATGTTATAGAAGGTAAGACTTAGAGAGTTTAACTGACTTGGCCAGGTTACCATATCTGTTGAGGGCTTGCATGGGAAGACAGTTCTTTTGATCATTTAGATCAGTGCTCTTTCTCCCACAATGAGATAGTAATGGGAAATCTTTGTAGATACAAAGATATATACCCAAATAGTGTACTTAGGAAAGAATCTCACAGTCCTGGTGCTAACTTATCTTTCATTTTCATTTATACTATCCCTGATTATTGGCTAACTTTCCTGTAGTGAGATGGCAGAAAAATGGATCCAGTTCCTTGTTGATTTATAAATACAGAAGGTAGGCTTTAGCCACTGGCTGAACTGAATGGAAGTAGAATGTATTTTAATTTAGAAGCCTGGTCTTACCTCTACAGAGTCGGAATGAATATATTGCTCACCTCAAGGACCAGTTGCAAGAGATGAAGGCAAAAACCAACCTGGAGAATCGCTATATGAAGAGAAACACTGAGCTGCAGATCTCCCAGACCCAGAAGAAATGTAACAGAACAGAGGAGCTCTTGCTGGAAGAGATAGAGGTAATCACTGCTACATTAAGAATGAACACAGTAGGTGGCATTTGGGCTGTCACTCCTCATACTGCTTCACCTAACAGAGGAGGAAGGGCTCCTCTGTTGATCTTTGCTCTATCTTTCCTGCAGCTCTCACATTTGAGATTAAAAATAAAAACAGAATGAAGCGCCCCAAAACAAGATACTTATTGTGAGTTTTTGCTGCTGCCTTCTTTACCCAACAAGTACCTTTTATCCCCCATTAAGAAATATAAAATCGGGGCTCCTGAATGGCTCAATTGGTTAAGCATCTGACTTCCTCTCAGGTCACGATCTCAGTTTGTGAGTTCAAGCCCAGCATAGGGCTCTACGCTGTCAACTTCAGATCCTCTGTCTCCCTCTCTCTCTCTGACCCTCCCCTGCTCCCACACACTCCCTCTCGCTCTCTCTCAAAAATAAATAAACATTAAAACGTATATATAAAATCAAGGGGTGGCTCAGTTGGTTAAGCTTTCATGACCTTTGATTTTGGCTCTTGTGAGATTAAGCCTGACACAGAGGATGGAGCCTGCTTGGGATTCTCTCTCTGCCCCTCCCCGACTTCTGCACACACACGCATGCTCTCTCTCTCAAAATAAATAAATAAACTTAAAAAAAAGGAGAAAGAAATATAAAATCAAGCGTGCTGAGATTCATTCAAACCTAAATTTTAGAGATGGGAAATCCCACTGGAAAAATACCAGGAGAAACAAACAAGGGGTAGACCCTCATTAGAAAAGGAAGACTAAATGACTAAAAGAACAATAGGTAGGTGAGAAGGAGCAAACATTAGTAGTGTCATCCATGTTCAGGAGGACTGCTTTCTCTGGTCCCTCACTTATTTGAAAACTTCCTCGATGGGTGTGGTATATGACTCTGACTGCAAACTTCTTGCACTCTGGAATTTCCTTTTTGAGACCTAAGAACACTGTGCCCTTGAAACATTTTTCTCTCCTTAAATGACATCACTTTCCAGGCAACTGGATTATGGTTCTTATGTCCTGGACACTGGCATGTGTTCAGCATAATGCCCAACACATGGCTCAGCACCATCCATGAACACAAATTGGGTTAAAGGGAACTGATTTGTTGCCCCAGAGTGATGTGGTAGGATTCTTGGGACTCCAGTTGGTAAAGAAAACCTGAAATACTGTCACAGCTACAACTCTAATCTTGAGAACTTCTCATTCCAAACCCTACTGGCAAGAATTCCTGATATTGGTTTATTTTCACAGAAACTAAGGTTGAAAACGGAAGAAGAGAATCGGATTCATATGGAAATTGAAACATTCCTTAGAAAGGAGCAGCAGGTAGGTCACCAAAAGTTTTCTGTCCTCTGATTTATTTGTGTTCCACTTACAAAAAAATCAAGGGTGGCAAAAAAAATCTTTTTAAGGAGAGAAAAAATTTTTAAATGTTTATTTATTTTTGAGAAAGAGAGAGAGACAGAGAGAGACAGAGTGTGAGAAGGGGAGGGGCAGAGAGACAGGGAGACACAGAATCTGAAGCAGGCTCCAGGCTCTGAACTGTCAGCACAGAGCCTGATGCGGGGCTTGAACTCATGAACCACGAGACCATGACCTGAGCCTGAGGCTTACTTAACCAACTGAGCCACACAGGCACCCCGGAAAGAAATTTTTTAAGGAGTAAAAAATCAACCATAATTCTACCAGCCTAGTGAATGAATTGTAGCCCATGTCTTGTTTCACAGTTATCCACATGAATGAATATTTTATAAAGCTGTAATTTGAGTACAGGTTAAATATTTTATCTTCTGCCTTTATCATTTAGCATTATAAAATTTGCTCCTAGATTCCTCATAGTCATAATTTTAAAATAAAATTTACTGATTTTTAAAATTATAAAAATAACATACTCCTAGTTGAGGGAAGATTTTTTCTTTAATATGAAATTTATTGTCAAATTGGTTTCCATACAACACCCAGTGCTCATCCCAGCACTTTCAACAATTGCCAAATCATGGAAAGAGCCTAAATGTCCATCAACTGATGAATGGATAAAGAAACCGTGATTTATATACACAATGGAATACTACGTGGCAATGGGAAGATTGTTTTTTAATCGTCAATCGCTTTTTCACTCATTTTTTCATGTTATTACATTATCTTCATAAAATAATTTAAAATAGTTTTATAATGTTCTACTGAATGGTCATGCCCTAGTTTACTTATTACCCTTTATTTGGGATATTTATATTATTTCCAAGGTTTCATTATTATATATAATGCAGTAATGAAAGCTTTGCCCAAATAACTGTTTTCTTTCATTGCAATTATTTACTAAAGGTGAATCTCAAGTTTGAGAGTATTATGTCAGAGAGACTAGTATTTTGTTTTGTTTTTTTTTTGTTTTTTGCCTCTTGTTTTATTTTATTCTTTTAAAGTTTTTATTTAAATTCTAGTTAGTTAACATGTGGTGTAATATTGGTTTCAGGAATAGAATTTAGTAATTCTTCACTTGTATACAATACCTAGTGCTCACCACAACAAGTGCCCTCCTTAATGCCCATCACCCATTTAGCCTATCCCCTGCCCACCTCTCCTCCAGCAACCCTAAGTCTGGGTCTTTTATGTTTTCTTCCCTCTCTCTTTTTCCCCTTCCCCTATGTTCATATGTTTTGTTTCTTAAATTCCATAGAAGTGAAATCATATGGTATTTGCCTTTCTCTGAATGCCTTATTTCACTTAGCATAACACACTCTAGCTCCATCCACATCATTCCAAATGGCAAGATTTCATTCTTTTTGATATCTGAATATTATTCCAATGTATACATACCACATCTTCTTTATCCATTCATCACTTTCCGTAATTTGGCTGTTGTTGATAATGCTACTAAAAACATTGGGGGTGCATGTGCCCCTTCAAATAAGTATTTTTGTATCCTTTGGGTAAATACCTAGTAGTGCAATTGCTGGGTCATAGGGTAGTTCTATTTTTAACATTTTGAGAAACATCCATACTGTTTTCCAGAGTAGAAAACACCAGTTTGCCTTTCCACCAATTGTATAAGAGGGTTCCCCTTTCTCCACATCCTCTCCAACAAATGTTGTTTCCTGTGTTGTTAATTTTAACCATTCTGACAGGTGTGAGGTAGTATCTCATTGTGGTTTTGATTTGTATTTCCCTGATGTTGAGTGATATGGAGCATCTTTTAATGTGTTAGCCATTTGGATATCTTCTTTGGGAAAATGTCTATTCATATCTTCTGCCCATTTCTTAACTAGATTATTTGTTCTTTGGGTGTTAAGTTTGATAAGTTCTTTATAGATTTTGGATAGTACTCCTTTATCAGATATGTCATTTGCAAGTATCTTCTCCCATTGTTGCCTTTTAGTTTTGCTGATTGTTTCCTTCTCTGTGCAGAACCTTTTTAACTTGATGAGGTCCCAGTAGTTCATTTTTGCTTTCGTGCTTTTGTTTCCCTAGCTTCCAGAGATGTGTCTAATAAGAATATGCTACAGGTGAGGTCAAAGAGATTGCTGCCTGTGTTCTCCTCTAGGATTTTGATGGCTTCCTGTCTCACATTTAGGTCTTTCATCCATTTTGAACTTATTTTTGTATATGGTGTAAGAAAAGTCCAGTTTTCCCAACACCAATTGTTGAAGAGACTGTCTTTTTGCCATTTGGTATTCTTTCCTGCTTTGTTGGAGATTAGTTGACCATATAGCTATGGAACCAATTCTGGGTTTTCTCTTATGTTCCACTGATCTATGTGCAGAGACTGGTATTTTGGGACTCTTGATAAATATTGCTAATACGTTCTAATCTACACTACCATCACTAATGTGAATTGCTGACACTAATTTCAAGGTATCCTCAACCACACTAGACATTTTACATATTTTTAAAGTGCTAATTTAATGAGTTGTCTTATTTTGCTTCCTTTTGCTAATAGAATTGACCATTTTTTCATATATTTACTTATTCATCTTATTTCTTCTTGTGTGAATTATATGTGACTGAAATGGTTTTAATTAATAATTATAATACTAATAATCAACTAAGATGTGTGGAGTTTTTCAAAATATCTCTGTTGGATGAATAAGGAAAAAAGATTCAGTTTGCCTTTGAGAAAGCTAATGGATTTTCAGTAAACAGTTCCAAATTTGTGGTGAAAGAATAGAATTTATAGATTCTATCTCACAGGACTTTACTGAAAAAAAAAATTGGTAGGCTCTTAGGAACAGGGTTTTATACCCCAGCAATTTAAGATTATGTACCATGGTGGCACTTGGGTGGCTCAGTCAGTTGAGTGTCTGATTCTTGATTTCGGCTCAGGCCATGGTCTCCCAGTTTGTGGGTTCGAGCCCCACTTTGGGCTGTGTGCTGACAGTGTGGAGCCTGCTTTGGATCTTCTCTCTTTTCCCCTTTCTCTCTCTCTCTCTCTCTCTCTCTCAAAAAAAAAAAAAA